GTTACAGGCTTCCCGAGTTCATCTCTTGGTTTTCTTCTCCAGAGCAACATCTCTTCATGTGAGCAACTCCAAAGCTAGTCATCCAGAAAGTGTGGTCTGGAGATGCCTGGCTGAATTATTCACTCATCTCCTTCCTCCCTTCCTTCCTTTTCTCCCCTTCCTTCCTCCCTTCCCTTCCCTACCCTTCCCTCCCTATGGAAATAATTTATTTCTGATATATACCTTTTAAGATTATGATTGCTTTTTCAAAACACAGTTCTATTACATAGTAAGGCATTCCTTGTAGAGAAATAGTAACTTTAAATGTTCTTACTGCTGTCTTTAATTTTATTTGCATTCATTCATTCACTCAGTAAATCATTATTAGTGCCCAGGTTCTAATAAGCACTATGCTGCGAGCCATGGGTGGAGGAACAAACAGGCAGACCTGTCCCTGCCCCAGTGCAGGGTAACGAGAAGGACAGCACCTCAACAGGGGTGTGGGGAAGAGGCAACAGAACGTACACTGCATGGGTGGAGGGGAGAACGCGTGCCTGAGGAATCCAGAGCGGGACAATGTGACCACAGCAGAGACAGCAAGGGGACAGTGATGCCAGGGGCGTGAGGGGAGAGGCTAGAGTATGCAAGCCCCGCAGGCACATCGCAGGGGTTTGGGGCTGTATCTCAAGGGGCAGGGTTGTAAGTATTGACCACATTTGCTTTTTTGCAAGCCCCCTCTGACCACGGGGTGGAAAAGAGCGAGTGCCTGGTGGTGGAGCAGTGAGGATGCTTCTGCATCAGCCCCAGGAAGGGATGACCAGGGCTTTGGTTGGGACAGAGCAGTGGAGAGACGGAGCGGCTCACAGGCTTGAAGAGCAGGTGCAAAACTGGTGCGACAGGATGACTTAGACTGGACGTGAGGGGTGAGAAAGAGGGAGGGGTCGAGCTTTCTCACATCCACAGCTGAGCAGACCACGACGCTGCTTGTGAACGAGAACGGGGACAGCGGAGGAGGAGCAGAATTTTAGGAGGTGACCGGGATTTGGACGGGCTAATTCCTGGGGACAGCCAACTGAAGGCGTTCCTCTTCTTTCTCTCACAATCTAATTAAATCTGATCCCTTGGACACAAAGGGAACAACACAGAGGGTGGGAGAGTATTAAGAAAACAGAGAGGGGGGACTTCCCTGGTGGTCCAGTGGTAAAGAATCTGCCTTGCAATGCAGGGGAGGCGGGTTTGATCCCTGGTCAGGGAACTAAGATCCCACGTGCCGCGGGGCAACTAAGCCCGTGCGCCGCAACTACAGAGTCCATGCGCTCTGGAGCCTGCGTGCCACAACTAGAGAGAACCCCGAGCGCTGCAACGAAAGATCCCGCGTGCTGCAATTAAGATCTGACGCAGCTGTACACCTGAAGCTAACACAACACTGTAAACTGACTATACTTCAATAAAATTTAAAAAATAAAAATTAAATTAAAAAAAAAAAAGAAAACAGAGAGGGCAGCCAGAAATCCTTACCTGTCACGGTGGGCAAACATTGCCAGGGGACCACATGCTCTACTGCCCAATTTAAAATCAAGAAAAAGATTTTAAAGAGAGAGTAGATATCTGGATTCTATTTAAAAATTTTCACTAACTGAATTTGGTCATGTCAAGTTACTCAGTGATTCTCCTTTCTTGGTAATAAGAAAACACTAGAAACAATCCAAAACCCACTTCCATAAAGGCTATCTCCTAAGGTCCCAGGCAATTTGGTTAAAAATGAAAATACAGTGACTAGCTCTCAGTACACTGTCTAAATCTCTTGACTATGAAAGACACTTTTACCAAAGATCACAACTCATTCACCTGGCAAAAGGAAACAGAGCATTTTAAGGTATAGCTCAATGAAAACAAGATAAGTCTTGAGAATATAAAACATAATCTGTCAGATACCGCAGTTGGGTTGACATCAGTAAATGGACTGCTTTTCAGTTTGTGTTGCTTTGCCTGCTGGGGTGTCTGGAAAGGTTCAAATTTCAAGTCGGTCAGCATCATGAGAAGGATACTGCCCACTCACAGGGCACTCAGCCAACCAGCCACTTTACAATAGGTGAGTCTCTACTACTACTGGTGTCAGGACATGTCCACACAGGGTAGAGAGTCACTGTTAGGTCTGGAGCACCTGCACCTTCGACACACTGTTGAAAATGAATCTGAAATGGCCACATTTTGAACTTGCAAGGAAAACTGCTCTTCCCATGAGATCATAAAAGGTCTGTAAGCTTACCAAACCTGCACCATGGAACTCACATCACCTGTTTTGGTCATCTGCCACCCTGTAGCTTTTAGGTAGTATTTAAATATTTAATTGACTGATGTTCCTCAAATCCTAGTGGAGGAAATACAAAGATGGGTGAACGGAACCACAGTAAAGTCACTATAAGAGACTATAAGAGCCCACAGAAACTAGAGACCCTCAGACCAAGAGAAAGGATGCTCAGATATTCAAATAATATTAGTAAAAACAAAAAACGTAAAATCAGTAAAAATGAAAAACAAAACAAAAAACTCCCATAATAAAGATGTTATGGGGCTTCCCTGGTGGCGCAGTGGTTGAGAATCTGCCTGCCAAGGCAGGGGACACGGGTTCGAGCCCTGGTCTGGGAAGATCCCACATGCCGCGGAGCAACTGGGCCCGTCAGCCACAATTACTGAGCCTGCGCGTCTGGAGCCTGTGCTCCACAGCAAGAGAGGCTGCGATAGTGAGAGGCCCGTGCACTGCGATGAAGAGCGGCCCCCACTTGCCACAACTAGAGAAAGCCCTCGCACAGAAACGAAGACCCAACACAGCAATAATTAATTAATTAAATTTTTAAAAAAAGATGTTATGTATCTTACAATGTCAGCGTATGACTACATCACAATAGTACTATTTAGCTATGAGATGCTGACTGCCTGATAATGACAGGCATGAAGATCTAGACCAAAGATAAAAGGGAAACTGTCTAGGACTTCCCTGGTGGCACAGTGGTTAAGACACCATGCTCCCAATGCAGGGGGCCCGGGTTCGATCCCTGGTCAGGGAACTGGATCCCACATGCATGCTGTAACTGAGTGCGCATGCCACAACTAAGGAGCCTGCCGGCTGCAACTAAGACCCAGCACAACCAAATAAATAAAATAAATATTTTTAAAAAAGGAAACTGTCCTATTAATGAGATGGCAATATTTTCTCTTCCAATCGACAAGTAACAAATATAATTTATCCAACACAGGGCTCAACTGTTACATATTTATTCCTTTATATCCATTTCATTTAAAAATGATTTTTGATTACAGTAACCATTTGTCTACCTGGCATGCCTAGGGAAGCAGTTAACTCCATTTTGCCTTAACCAAGGAGTTAGCCTATTTATAAACCCAACACTGTTCAGGAAAATGAGTCAGAAAACTCTCTGGTAAGAATGCACAATTACATAAATGAATAACAATTAAGCATTTTGAATAATACTATAAACCACTTAAACCACAGTACTGAACACTCCTAAAAAACACATAGATAAATCCCAAAGATGTCTGAGGACTGAAACTAAATAGGGTAAACTTGGGATTCTTTTTTTTTTGAATGTTTAGTTATTAAGCATTTTAAAATTTTTTTTAAATTTAATTTTTATTTTATATTGGAGTATAGTTGATTTACAATGTTGTGTTACTTTCAGGTGTACAGCAAACTGATTCAGTTATACATATACATATATCCATTCTTTTTCAGATTCTTTTCTCATATAGATTACAGAATACTGAGTAGAGTTCCCTGTGTTATACAGTAGGTCCCTGTTGATTATCTATTTTATATATAGTAAACTTAGGATTCTTATCCCACCCCACCCTCAAATTTACACTGGTAGGAAGCCCCTCTACCTTACCTGTACCCAGGTATCCTGCTCCCTGGGCTCCCTGGGAGACAGGAAAGCTAACAGACATACCCTGTCACTTTTTCACAACTATGCCTAATTTCGTAAATGACAGAACACCTAATCAATATACTGTATCACTTTTCAAAAACTATAGTTCCTTATCCCGGTTTTCATAACATGTGAAGGCTTTGCGATTCAGTCTTGCATCAACCAGGTAGGCAGCTTTTGGGTATAAGCTGGGTGGCAGCTGTGTGGCAGGTGCCACTGAAGAGAAACAAATGGCTCTGTAGCCAAGTGAATGAATTATTTCCTTTGTAAACGCAGCTGTTTTTTGTTTTAAATACACCTGTTTATTGAACTTAAACACCTGCATTAAGTCAATAAACAAAGTCACACTAAACTTATATTTATTGTGCGCCTGTTGTATCAAGAACTGCGTTAGATATTTTTCATGTATGTTGCTAATCATATGTTTTTAAATATTAACAGAAAATCTTCCCAAACCTTCTGTTGACGTCACATGCCCAGTTACAGGTAAGAAGAAAATTACCAATACATTTAAAACAATCTCCTAACCATTATCTCTCCTTGGAGAAATGTGAACCACAAAGCAAAGCTTTCATTGGCCTGGGAGGGAGATCTGTTTCTACTACAGAGGGGTTTCATAAGAGTAAGGAAACTGGAAATTTGTCCAGATGCTCCTAAGTTATGTGTTCAGCTATTGTTTCTGTTGGGGTGAATTAACAGCCGCCACTGAGCAGAGGATTTTAAAACCAGCAAAAATATTTACTGAATGAACGGCCGGAAACTTTGTCACCTGGCTCTCTCCTTGGCTTTCCTTGTCAGAAGTCTGCAACATCTATTAAGGTCACGTCTCCTCATGTACAGCTTTTAATATGTTGCTTTATCTTCCTACTTGCTAGAGCTGGCCTTCTCTCTTGGCTTGAGGGTTTTTGTTTTGTTTTTTTTAAACAACAACCTTTTTTGTGTCTAAGGTAGAGTGAAGGGTTAACTTCCTTTCCCCTAGCCGTGGTGTAGGATACATGTCATTTTGGTAGCCCGACTCTGGGGCTGGGGACAGTAGCCTCAGGGGAAGGAGGGAGGTTAAGTTGGCACACTTACTCTCCCTGTTGGAAGTGGCTGGGGCATACAGAACTTTCACCGTGCTCATCTGCTAATACTGCAACTCCTCCGATGCCAACAAGCTGTAAAAGGAAATTAAGAATGTCACATGGCATCTCCAAGTGAAATACCGAGAGCTGCTCACCAGGGTCCCTCAGTGATAGCTGTTCATTTGGGGATAAAGTTATTACGGTAAGGAGAAGGGAGCTGACTTTGGAAGGGGTTGAGAGGATATAAAAGTCAGAAGACATCAACTCTTACTGCTCTGCCAAGTGTTTCCATCTTTACATGATATTTGAGATGTTGCAGTTTACAGCTTTATTCCTAAATTGTCATCAAGTTCCCTAAGAAACCATGAGCCAGATTTCTTTTAAATTTATTTTTACTCATTCCTAGCATGCTGCCGTGGGACCCAAGGGAATTTTTATTAAGGGAGGAGGGACCTGGCAGCATAAGAGATTCATTATTAGAATTGGAAAGTATTAAATGGGCCCATATTCAAATGATAAAAATCAACACATCCTGAAGCCACACAGACATGGATAATCAACGACTCTGCTTGATCCAATCGGTCCTTTTCCACTTGTGAAAATAACCAAGTGCTGTGTACACTCAGGAGCAGCAGACATCAGGAAGTGAACTAAGAGAGGAAGAATGTGGTGGCAAAGAAGAGAGTCAAAAACTAAAAACAGATCAAATACATCAGGAAATGGAAAAAACAAATAATTTTCCCTATTTTTTCTTAGTTCCTAAAGCAGAAAATATCTTTTTTCTTATTGCTCAGATCAAACTGAGAAAGGAATTTATGTGAGTAGGCTGGTGGCCAATGTTAAGACAAATACTATAATATTTATTTTTCCTTTTAAGTGTCCCCCTGCAACCGGGCCAATTTAGGAAAAGCTCTAGCTGCCCTCATAAGGCAGCTGTCCCTGAAGTTCAGCTTTGCTCACGGAAGCTGCACACAGTTTCTCTAAATGTCTGTTAACGTTACACTTCAAAAAGGAAAAGAAAAGCTAAGCCTACTTATAAACAGCATTATTTCCAAGTCTTTAACTGAAATAACTTCCATCGTCCTCTGTGAATAAGAACTGAAACTATGTGACTGAATAACAAAAAACATTAATCCTCTCATTTTCTAATTTCAGAAAATACGCTGTCTTGAGTTTTTGCTTATAAGTCATCTAAGTTTAAAAAGTCAAGAGTTTGGCCAGCATGGCTAGTGTACTTGGCAGAGCCAGGACCGGGGACTCGGCTGGCTCGGTGTGAATGGTGAGGCCAGGAGAAGGATTCCACCAGCGCAGCTGGGGTGTCCAACAGGGTAGGGGCCGCACGCTGGGGAAATCAGTTACATACGGGAGGATTAAGGAAATAAGTATAAATATGTTGAGGACGACGGGAGCCAGGCTTCTCACTTCTGCAGGAGGAAATTACAAATACGGAAGCGAGACGGCGAAAATAAACCCAGGGGGTTAGACTGAAATGGGAGGTACTGGGATGAAGTCCTGATATTTAACATAAATAGACAAAAGAAATAGAAACCCACGTATGTATATGTGTGTATGCATGTTCCCCCTCCAATTCTGCTGAGCAAGCCTGGAAGCAATGATACACTGGCAGCAACAACTGGACCCGCTACCCAGATCTTGGCTTTTAAAAGCCACACACCACCAACAGGAACCAAGGATTTTGGGAGAAATGGCTGAATACCATCACCCGGCCAGGGAAAGCACTAGATGAACCTGGAATCAGTATTACTGAGCCAGGGAGTAAGGAAGTTCTCCAAGAATGACAGGGACATGTCGAAAGGATACTGCTGCCAGCAGAAAGAGGCTTCCACTACCCAAATCTGGGACAAACCGTCTGGTTTATTTGGGAAAGTAAGGAGAATGCATTTGGTTGTTGACGATTTGTCTTTGTTCTCTGTTGCGGCTGTATGCACTACAGCTGGTATCCTCACCAGCCTTCTAGGAGACACACACCGCTGATGAGGCCAAAGTGTGGGACTAAACTGGCACAAGTTCATCACCACAAATGAACACATAGCTCAAATCTGTGCCCTCTTGACAACATGGTTGCTTGTTTAAAATATGTAAGATGGGGATGTCTACCCATCAGAAATATGGATACACTCTGCTCATAAGGTCCTTCTTTGGATACACAGAAGCCTGCATTTATTAACATTTGTGCTTTGAATGCTTTCTTATGTCAGGGTGCCAACAATTAGATGCAGAGACAAGTTGTTTCGGCTGCTCATACATACAAACAATCTTTTTTCTAAGGTTTGTTCTGCATATCAACTAGAAGAAAAAACTTCTTCTTCTTTTCTGGAAGATAACTTGTAAGACATGGTATCAATTAGGTTGGCCTTAACTGTTTCCCTTCCCTAAATTCAGACTAAAAGATTAATCACTTAGGGAAGAAAAAAATCTTTCTCACTGACAATCTGTGGCTGAGGGTTAGCTTTGACGTTTAAAAATAATTTTCATATTGAAATAATTTCAAACTTACAAGTTGTAGGAAGAGCATTAAGAAACTCTCAAATATCCTTCACTCAGATGATTCTCCAATTGTTAGCATGTTTTCAGATCTGTCTTATTCTCACATAAATGTGTGTGTAAATATCCATATACACACAATATTTGTTTATGCAGATTAGAATAATCTATTTCTGAGATCAACCAATTTATTTCAAACACAGATTTATACATAATTATTCAAATGGCACACAAGTCAAGTTAGGAAAGGTAACTGATGGTGCTGGTAAAGCTGAAGGTTTTGTTTTGCTGCGGTTTTGAATTTGGTGGGTAAATCATGCTCTTACACACTAGTCCTATGATCAAACCAACCTGTCTATGAAGGCCAGGCATTAAGAAACACAAGTGAAGCAGAAAGTCAGTCAAATGCCATGGCTGGGACTAGACAAGTGTGTGCTCTGTATAAAGGGTGCAGCTATTACTTTCATAGATGGTTCCTATTCTGAGCTGTAGACTGAGCCGCGCCACAAGTTCTGATTTTTCAAGAGAAGGCAGAAATATGGATTCTTTTAGGGACAGTATCCTATTTTAAAATGGGACTAAGGCTTAAAAATAATAAAACTGGTCTGAGGAAAAAAAATTCATCTCTCACTTGTGTACAGCTCACCACACTACCAGTTGACAGGTGCAATAATAACTCCCATTTAATTTTTGGTGATGACTAACAGAAAGTTATAATTCCATAAATAGGTAATAGACACTGTGCAAAAACAATGAAAAAATGACCCTACCCCCGGATCCTGTAGTCAGTTCCCTTGCAAAGGAAGTGATGCAATAGAAACTACATGCAGGATAAATAAAAAAAGAAGATTGAGCTGGCAAGAATTGATCCCATATTACAAAACAACATCTGCAAAGCAGAGCTTTTTAAAGGAAACTTACGGAGTATTCTCACTTACAAAGAATCTGGTTCAAATACAGTAATTACCAAGAAATTTGTAATGATTCAAAAGAACAAAGACGTTTAATTTATTTTTTTTCAAAAAAGAACACGAGCAAGGAAGTGTCCTTTGCATTCAAAGGCTGACATTAAGATTTATGTAGCAAAATCAGTATTTACATATTACTAATTAGTATGACTGCTTAAGTTTATTTTTGGCTTATAGAACAATTCAATTAATCAAGATACTCCAGTGACTAAAATAAAACTGATCCGAATTATATTTTTAAACATTTGCTTATCCTTTAAGAAGTGTTTCAAGTCCCACCAGCTCTGCTCTCTCTCCTTGGCACCTCTAGCCTGAGTAATCTCTCTCTTTACTGGATACTAAGGATTTACTGTCTCTACAACTTATTTGTCAATGAACTGGATGCTACACTGGGACCACTCTTTCATCACCCTTTAAGCTACAGAATTTTTATTGCTGTTTAATATTTCAAGTGTTTCTACATTTCCTTATATTCTCCAGTAGTTCCAAGAAGTGTTATTCCAAGTGTTCCAGTCTGCAAGTTGTTTGTTGCTTGGTCTGTGGTAAGTACGGAAACAGAGGGCATCCAGAAACTCTTTATGGCAGTTTGACATCACAGTGACAGCCAAGAGTGAGGCCAGTGAACTCATTTTGCTCAACGAAGTACAGACCATTTTGGGTGCTGTTAAACTCTCATGGTGTAGGCGAGCGTGACCCAGGCTGCATATTCGTCACCCATGGCAGGACCAAGTTACAATGTGTAATACTTAGGAATAGTTTACAAACTCTAACTCAAAAGTACATAAAAATCTCAGCAATGTAAGCATGTATTTATTTTTATTACTTTCTATGTTTATAATTCTTTAAATTTTGAACAAGGCCCGGTTTTGAATAAATAGTTTAGTGCTATCAGCTACGTTAGGAAAGTAACATTTGTATTATTTATTTATTTATTTAACATCTTTCTTGGAGTATAATTGCTTTACAATGGTGTGTTAGTTTCTGCTGTAAAACAAAGTGAATCAGCTATATGTATACATACATCCCCATATCACCTCCCTCTTGCGTCTCCGTCCTACCCTCCCTATCCCACCCCTCTAGGTGATCACAAAGCACCGAGCTGATCTTCCTGTGCTATGCAGCTGCTTCCCACTAGCTATCTATTTTACGTTTGGTAGTATATATATATATGCTGCTTTTAATATTTTTTCTTTGCACTTAATTTTTTAATGAATTTATTCATTTTATTTATTTATTTTTGGCTGCGTTGGGTCTTTGTTGCTGTGCGCAGGCTTTCTCTAGTTGTGGCGAGCAGGGGCTACTCTCCCTTGCGTGGGTTTCTCATTGCCGTGGCTTCTCTCGTTGCGGAACATAGGCTCTAGGCGTGTAGGCTTCAGTAGTTGTGGCACGCAGGTTCACTAGTTGTGGCACATGGGCTTAGTCGCTCCACGGCACGTGGGGTCTTCCAGGACCAGGGCTCGAACCCGTGTCTCCTACATTGGCAGGCAGATTCTTAACCACTGCGCCACCAGGGAAACCCCTGTATTTAATTTTTGATACTTTGATTAATACGTGTCTTGGCGTGTTTCTCCTTGGATTTATCCTGTATGGGACTCTCTGTGCTTCCTGGACTTGACTGACTCTTTCCTTACCCGTACTAGGGAAGTTTTCAACTATAATCTCTTCAAATATTTTCTCATTCTGTTTTATTTTCTCTTCTTCTTCTGGGACCCCTATAATTCTAATATTGGTGCGTTTAATGTCCCAGAGGTCTCTGAGACTGTCCTCAATTCTTTTCATTCTTTCTTCTTTATTCCGCTCTGCAGTAGTTATTTCCACTATTTTATCTTCCAGGTCACTTATTCGTTCTTCTGCCTCAGTTATTCTGCTATTGATTCCTTCTAGAGAATTTTTAATTTCATTTATTGTGTTGTTCATCATTGTTTGCTCTTTACTTCTTCTA